CTCCGCGAGCCACGGCACACCTGGCCATCGACGCGTGAACGTGTGTTACCTTTTGCCAGTGGCCGGCCAAACGGTGAAAAATCGAGAGGAAATCGTGTTCTCGAGGCCCAGTTTCTTCAATTTCCATGTCGTGTAAATTTATTTATTCTTGTTATTTTGGAAAAGTGCATTATCTTGAGGAAGGGAATATTTTTTTTTCTCTTTTATTCTCTTTCTGCATTCAGCTTTAGTGGCAGAAATATTGGTATCTTTATATAAGTATATGATATATGTAATAACATATAAATAAATGAAAATATAAATGAGATATTGAGAATATATAATTCTCTAATTATCTCTAATTTTATAATTTTATATCTTGAAATTTTGTTGTATTGATATTACGAAATTAAGTAAGGAAAATTATAAGAATAGTGAAAAAATCATAAAATCGAAATTTCTTCGAAAATTTTAACATTAGGATAAAAGTTTGTATCGAAATGCTTCGTTGTTAATCCTGATCTTAACATCGTGAAATCGAATCTTGTAATGAACACGTAGGCAGTGTTTGACAGTAATCAAAGGTCTCATCGTCAAGGTTAACTAACCACTCGTTTCAGTGCAACGTGATGGAACGTTTGGACAGTGGTTGCCGCTTCCGGTTTAGAAAGATTTGTACAATTTCTCGTTTAAGAATTTTAATTTGCTGCGTAGGCGATTGTGATAGGCGAGGGTGGTACTTGAAAATGATTCTTGGCGTGGGTGGAATTATGGAACTGTATAACTCTTGAGCTTTAAATTTTGCATATCTATATGTATATACAGTAATCTTCAAAAGTTGTATGATTCAAAGATCGTAAGTTGTTTGGAAAGATTTATCTAAGAATCCCCTAGGGATTTTGATTTTTCACTGATAAAAATTATGGAGAATGATTCTTCTTGTGATTGGAGCTGCAATGAAAATTTTGAATTTTAATATATAAATAATTTTAAATTTGATTAAGATTGGAAAATTTTTTTTATAGCATATAGATAATTTTTTAAAAAATCTCTAAAAAGTTTCGAATTTCATAGTGATTTCCAGAAATCTTAGATATTCTTCAGATCGCAATTTTTAAATTCGAATATAAAGTTATATTCAGAAGTTCTTCATATTTTAATTTCATAATTTTGCATTTAAAAAAAAATTATGAATAAAAAATTTCCAAAATGTCATTGCACAGGTGTTGAGATACAACTTAATGACTATTGACCGATTTTCAGATTATAGTGCTTCCAGCACTTGTATCTAACACACCCAGATCTAGAATATATCTATTTTGTTTAATGTCTAACAGTAAACCGATCAGTTTGCAATCGCTTGGGGATATTACCTAATCGCCAGGGTACAGCTGGATGACAGCCGTCTGGCTGAATACAGTATCCACTTCCAGCGATTGTATGCCAGTCCTTTAGAAGTCAACCGGGAATGTACAGCGCTGTTCAAAAGTTTCGATCGTGCATTATTATTTTCTGTCTTCAATATTTAAAATCTTTGTATATAAAATTTTATTATTATAATCGAAAATTACTGTACAAATATCTAAAAATGAAGATTTTTTTCATAAAAGAAATTATTACAGGAAATTTAAAAATAGTTAAACAAATATTCAAAATTTTTGCGATCTTTTAAACAATGAAAATTTTTCTTCGAAAAATGGATTATGAATACTTTGAATCCTTCAAAATTTATATATTCTAAGATCAATCAATAATCCCAACTTTTGAATCGAAATATCTATTCAATTTTTCGTTTTTTAATTCCTTTTCTAAGTTGAATCTATTTTTGATAAATTCTTCAAAGGTAAACCTAACCTCAATCTGTAGTTGACAAGTCAGAAGACTCTACTTTGTGGTACAGCAATGTTCAGCTTTCGGACTTTGATATCGCTTTGTGTCCTCAGAGTATTAACGTATGTTGCCGTTTGTTCAAGTTAGCAATAGTGAAATTTAGGTTTGTCTTCGTGCTTGATGCCAGGTTTCTACTGAGAACAGAAGATATTGTTTCGAAATTGACTTTACTCTTGGATCAGAGTTGAGAGATCAGTGTCTCTCAATTTTCTTTTAAGTTATATTCTTTTTTTTAATATCTCAAAGTTGTTGTAGATTTTATTAACATATTAATCTATCAAGTTTTCAAAAAATGTTGTATTATTGTATTATTGTAATGTGTGTAAACTTGTATTATTGTATTAATATTCAAATTATAAATAATCAAATTATTTATATATAAAGAGTTTTGATATTTAACTTTGACTTTAATAATTTTTAAGCTATATCCAATTATCCATTGTCAAAGTATATTTTATATTGTTTTTGTCTATATCCAATTAATTATTCAAATAGTTCTTACATCTATGCGCTAAAAATTTTTAATATCATTTAACTTTTAATTTCAGTAACTTCTAAGTATTCTTATCCATCTATCAATTGTCATTGTTTCTACTTATGCTTCTCATTACAATATTATCGTTTAGGTGAAATCATCTATTGAATTTCTTCGAGCGATAGCGAAGTGAGATCATTGTTTATCAAAAGGAAACTTTGTTGTCAATGGCTTCCTGTTAATCTATTCACTGGTTTATATGTTGCACGATCATCGGTATGTGTTAATGTACATCGATAATTGGCCTTAACAAACGTTTTATCACTCGTTAAATTATTCAACCGTTCATTCCTCGTTTGTTTTAATTGCTATTAAATTGCTTTCGAATTTTACAGCAAGGCCATCCACAAAGTATCATTACAGTTATCGATATGAAATATTGATTTATCGCTGTTGACGATAGAATCGGCTAACGTGTACAGTGTTTTCTATGTTTACGACATTTGTTCACGCGTGGCTAGTCATAGATTTTTCAAAATCTTTTGATAAGATTAGCGCAATAAAAATTAAATTGTAAAGATTACCATAATTTAGAAATTTTTCCACAGATAGGAAAAACCTAAAAATAAATTTTTAATAATAGATTCAAAAATAAAATTTTTATCAGAAACAATTTTAAAGGATTATCAATTGATTCGATTTTCAGAAATTATTGATAAAAGATAACGTAAAATTTCAAATCTCAATTTTTAGAATTATTGGAAATATTTTCAAAAATTTATAAATATTTTCGATACATTTAGTAGCAAAATTAAGTTGAATCTTCCAATTTTTAGAAATTTTTCATTTTTCAAAAATTCCCAATATCAAAGCTATAAAAAAATTCTCAAAAGTTTTACATTGATTTAACATCAAAGGCTACCGACAAAATTCTCAGAAGCATTTCCAATAGCAAATCCAATCCAAACCTAAAATCATAAAATTCATCAAAAAAGATTCTCAAAATCAGAAATTTCCAATCGATATAGATCTATGAACTTTATATTTAACACTAGAATTATCAAATCAATCGAATCAAATTGATTTTAGATTTTGTCTTTTTTATTATTATTGAAATTATCCAAATAATTTCGATAAAATTAATATTGCTTTTTAATAAGACAAAAATATAATTATATATGTTAATGTATTTAAGGAACACTTTTGGACAGTCAATTCTAATACAAACATAAAAGTTGATTATATATATATACTTATAACTTAATAAATAAGCCTCTTTACTTATTTCTTTTTTTAATCTCTGAAATAGATCCTTCAAAGATTTTTCACAAATATATTGACAGAAATATTTTATTTTAATCCTAATAATCTATAATATAATATACACTTAGATATATTACTATATCTAGTTACATATTATAGATTCGCAATTCTAGTGTTAAAATTTGAAACTTACTAGATATATCGTGGCAAAATCCAGCACGCAAAAATCGTACGGAAGCGATCCTCGTGCTGACACGGTGATCTCGAGGATCGATGGGGGGTGGACGGTCGGGTATAACTTATTGAAAACGGTTGATCGCACCTGACGCCTTTGCCCAGCTTTCATCTCGACCACTTACTCTGGAAACGTAGCTCGTGGAACACGGTGCCTCGTGTTTCACGAGAGACATATTGCCGGATCATCAATCCTGACCACGTTGGAAATTTTATATCGTGCCACTGGGATGCTGTATTTTGTTTGATGTATTCCGAGCAGTTTCTTATTTACTTTTCTCTTTCTATGGAATATTTTCCTGAATTTTTTTTAAACTCTCGAGCCATCTAGATAAAAGAAATTTCGAAAATTATTTCTCAGAAAATTTAAATGTTTTGAATGTACGTATAAAATAAATTTTTATTTTCTTGGATCTTTTGGCGTCAATCTTTGTTGACATAGAAAATTTCGAAAATTATTGAGTTTTATATTCAATAATTGTAGCCAGATTAGATTCTATTTCGTTGAATTTCCTTTACTTTTAATTTTGATGTCAATTTTTTAACACAAGAAAAATAATTTTACTATTGAATGCGATGAACTTGCAAAACGGATGATTTTCCACGTGAGAGAATAGTCAAGTGAAGTATCTGTCACGCAAAGACAATCAAAATTTACGGTTATTGAAGTAGAGATATGGGCCGGAGGAAGTGGTTTACTATCCAAGATCTGAGCGCATACTTAAAAATAGCGCGCGGAAGTAATAAAAGGAAACATTATTAGAATCACTCGTTAGTAAGGAGCATTAAATTTCAGGTATAAATTCTCCCATAAATCTTTGAACAATAAACTCTTTTAAGAATCATAAACACCTTGCTAGTCTCTGCAGATTTAATTTTTCTTATTTTTAATTTTTTTTTTTTTTAAATAAACTTGAACTATTCCTATCAATTTCGTACAAAACAACGAACTTAAGAACTTCAAATTCCTAATCGTAATATCAATCCAATTCAACTTGAGCCTCGTTATCCAAATTATCCTGCATGCGCATTTGTAAATTTGTAGTCGCAATCTCGATTCGATTTCAATCATGATCCATAATCAAACTGGGAACGTAGGCAAGGAGCGGGCATGGCGACTTCCCCTCGAAGAAAGCCCGAATCTATCGAGCGTGTCCTCGACTGAAAGCCCTTAATCTTGGCCAACCAGGTAAACGGAAACTAGCGTGGCCTATTACTCACAGATGTATTATTAACCACTTGCCTGGCTGCAACGTTGCTATGTGCATTTGCATAATACAGTAGAGACAGTGGAGAACGCGAGCTACGGTTCAACAGCCTCGTACGAACCGATATCTAATCTACCTGTGGTTAGCGAAAAACACGTTCCAAGATATGAGATTTTCTTGAACAGATGTCGACAAAGAGAATGACAAAGTGAAATAGATTTGTAGATAACGAATTCTTGATGTAATGGAAATTGAAAGTGGTTAAATTTTAGAGAAAATTAATTAATAGAGAAGATGAATTATAATAAATTGAATTGTATTTGCATTGACGAGGGAGAAACTTTTAAATAACCTGAAAAAAAAAAATTATTCAATATCTGGCTTATTCAATAACTTTGATTATTTTGAATGATCTTTATATTAATATTTTCAATATTACTTACAATGTTAAATTTTTAAGAAAAATCTATTTTGAACTCTTATCATACTGATCTCACTTTGCTTTTTTTTTCTTTCAAACTTTGGATCTTAATTATCTTATTTTAATAAAAGTTCTTTCTCTCAAAATATATTCGACACATCAATATATTTAATGTTCCAATCAAAATTCGATTCCCATGACACTCGTCATATCTTGATCATCGATCATATGTATCAGTTCTATTAAAATGATTGCACGTTCGTCATGGTGCATAGCTGGCGCGCGTGTTCGCTCGCGGAACACATGGGACAGGAGTTATTCGAGAGGCGCAGCTGACTCGACTACAAATATCGTCGCCGGTGTTGCAGAAACTCGATATGAACGGTGCTGTTCGCCCTTGTGCCAATAAACCGTATTGCAGCTCGTATCTCGGCAGCCGAGCTATTAGCCTGTCGAATCCTAATGCCGATTCCAATTATTGCGATTTACCAATTGACTGAGCTCACATTTGGATCTTTTCAAATATCTGGAGTCTCAAGCTGGTAGCTTTGTGATAATGGCTTCTTCATTCTGTGAATTGAAATCACATAAGATAAAGTACATATTTGGTTTATGAGACGTAAAGCTCTTGGAAGAATCTTTTAAAGTGAAGAGAAGATATAAAAAATCGAAGAATTGTGAATTTGGAATTCACAATTTTTTGATTTAATATTTGGAAGTTATAATTGTATCTCTTGTTCTCTTTTTAATAGCTACTATAATGTATTATTTTCACTCAAATAAAAAGTAGAAGAGTAATTCAAATTTTGATTGAAGTTTCTTTAAGAAATTATCCCATGTTATTTTTATTTATTAAAAAATTTAATTTATATTTTCAATATTTAAATATTTTAACATAACTTTCTTGACAAATTATATTTTATTGTTCAAATTTCATGTTTTTTCTATCATCCTTTCTTTTATCTTCTTTTCAATAAACACTTATTTTTAATCAAATCTGGGCCTCGAAACCACGAATATCTTACGTAAAATCGAACATTTCAATTGGTTTTCTAAAAGAAAAAAAATTTCATCTCACCAGATTCGAATTAATCCCATTAAATGAATTCACCTCGAAGGCATCGATCACGATTTTCGCTTGCTTGAAGATGAAACGTTGGCCTTCCTCTAACCGTGCAGAAATGATCCGCTTAAGTGAACAGAAATGCGGTGTTATCGTGCTTCGCGAGATTTCTGACGCATCCACCAACTAAAATCCACGGTTTGGATTACATCTTGCAAGGGGAGAGGCGGAACCGGTCTGCTATTTTCAGAGGAAATTGTGGTTACGTGAATGCCGTTTGGATTACGGAGGAGCGTCCAACCGATGCCTGATTTTGGGAATCAGCACGAGCCAGACCCAGAGGATCGTTTGAGCGAGCCTCAGGCATGAAGGAACGCGAGATGAAACTCTTTGGTTGCCGATGGTCCTTTTGGAATTTCGCGACTAATCTCGCAGGTTCGTAAATGCGGATATTATTGAATAAACTAAGAGGCAAGAGTTGCTAGTTGCCTGATGAATTTGAAATCGAGATGTGAATAGATTTAAATGAAATTTAGTATAAAAAATTCATTTTATGATAAAAGTTGGATAATATCTCAAACTTATAGAATTTAATATTGAAATTTAATATTAAAATCATATATTTTGTTAAATATAAAAAAAAAGATGACGAATGAAAAAAAAGAAAGCTAAAAATTAAAATAAAAATATTAATAAGTTTCATAATGTATTAAAAAAATGATTGATAAAGATTACTTACATCATAAATCATAATTATTCAACTATTATTGTATATTGTATTGATTGAAATATTATTAGATAAATATATAAAACATAATAGATTCAAAAAGAGATTGTATTATGAAATAATAAATTTATTTAATAGAAATTTATTTAATCCTGATATGCTTCATCCTCTATATTATTAGATTTATTTTACTGAAGATGGCTGAAAGTATAATAAATGATGAGTTTCTCAACAACGATTTATCAAGCTTCACTTCTACTAGCATATCGTATAATATGTCAACCTTCTTACCAGGCAAATTTAATATTCTCCGAATATCTCGTCTTTTGTACTTGCATTGATCACGAGATCCTTCACCATGCCTATATAATTCTCTCTCTTCTTCTTGATCCCCTAATTTCCTCTAATCCGCTCAAATTTCCTCTTCTATATATCTATATCATCACTCGTTCACCCTAATTCCCCGCAATTGGCCGCGAAAAGTTGGACGAATCCTTTTACAGGATTTTATTTTGGCCTCGTTCAATTTTAACCTAGCATTTCATCAAATTTCATAATATGAACATAACCAACTTTTTCTTTATTTCTCTCAAGAGATAATCTATTCATTAAACTGATTATTTCAAATCATTGATTATACTATATCTTTTTTTTTCTCTTCTAGATTTTCCTTCGCATAAAATAGAATTTGTTATTTTCAACTGCTGTTTGATCATTAAAGCTTTACATGCAAATAAATGAATCTTATGAGATAAGATTGCATATTATTTTTACTCATAATTAGATTCCTGTTTTTTTTTTTATTTCCATTTCTTATTGATAATCATATTGCTGCTTATTAAATATTGCTGTCTATTAGTAACCTAACCTATTATAACTATATTCTAAATCTATCACTTATCCAAGCATAACACTGAAGAATTTGAATCCGTCATTTGTTGCATTTCTTGCAAATAAGAGAAATAATTTATATACAATTTTATAATCTTACATCATCACAACAAAAATTATTAATCAGCTGAATATGTCTATATTCTCTACTAGTAGGTTTTCGATTTTCTGTTATGTCGATAAAAAATGAAATCTTCTTTTCCAACGTTGTATGCAACATGAATTTAGCAACAATAGTCCGTGATCAATGTAGCTTCAATGATAGATCCTACGTTACAAAGATTAAAAGAGAAAAGAATTTTTAATTTATTCAACTGTTTTTCTTCTACTTTAAAATATTACATCGCCTTCGAAAAATCATTGATCGGAAGAACGAAGTAATATTCGTATAATTTAAGGATGACGACGGAAGTTCCACAAATATGTTTGAATACTGATTGCAGACGATCATCTTTGATCGTGCATTCTTTTTGCGCGTTCCATCGTCTGTTTATTTATTAACCTTGGCTCGGATAAAGGCTTTCCAGTTTCCTCTTCCGCATGCAACGAGGAAGAGAATGTTTCTCGCGTAGAAATACCGGATGTCGAGGCGCAAAAAATATATTAAATTGACAGATATAGTATAATTTATAATAATATTACAGTGATTAAAATTTAATGGAAATTTCCTCAATTTAAAGAACGATATATTTTATCAGATTATCATTTCGATTCTTTTCAAATTTTTTAAATCAAAACCAAATAAAATATTCAAGGTGATCAAATTATTTTCTTCGTTGTGCTTCCATTTCCTCGAATCATTCATTACCTTATATAAATGGAGAAAGTTAATTCTCAAGAAAGACTGTTTCATTGGAGAAAAGACATTTCATTTATATCTTTGATATACACGTTTTAATTGGTATTAATGAAAATTAATTAATCGTCCGTGAAACGTTTTGCTCTTTTCACTGTGATAAAGAATATTAACGAAACATTTCTTTTATCCAGAGAATATTCATCTTTTCTTTGGTATATGAAAATTTACAACTCCCTCTGAAATGAAAGGAATCCCTTTCGATACGATATTTCGCGAGAAACGAGATGAAATTCTGAATACCACGGAAACCCGTCGTATTCACTCGATTCTCAGTTTTTAAGACATCTGAGAGAGATACTCCGAGTTACATTCGGCTTTACATTCATATTTAGAAGAGAACTTGCGAGGATATTTCATCTGCGCGTTATTCGCGACACGTTCAGCCGAGGAGAGCGGCATTACGAATCACGACGGTTTCCTTATTGAATATCCGAGTTCGACGACGCTGATGCCGCGTGATAGGCGTTCCTTATTCGCTTCTGGAACTTCCTGGACACAGATATCTTCTATAACGCTATACAAAAGTCTTAGATTGGATAAATCAAAATATTTTGTTTGTATGAATGATGCCTGATATTCTTAGTAATATTTTTATCAAAATAAAATTTAAGTTACTATATTTATTATTGTTCATATTTTTTATATATTCTATGTTGATGAATGTTATGTATGATTGAAATTATGTTATTATATTTGTTTATTAATATATTATTATTTATTTCATTTTTGATAATTCTTCTATTAATTCATATTCACAAGAAATGAGATAAATTATGTTAAATAAACAATTTTTCTTTTCCAGATTGAAATATTCTCTTACCTAAACATGTAAATACATCCATTTATCGGAAAGGAGAGGAAATCTTGTTTTAATTTAATGATACATATCCTTCAAACGATACATATTATTTTTTCTTTTCTTTTTCATCGATCAGAGAAAAGTTGGCCGCTCTAGAAGTTTCATATGAAACCGCGAGGCCGCGGTTGTTCCATTTGCTTTCATCTTGAACTACTTCTTCGCCTTGATATTCCGGTAAAAAGTTGTTTGCGTCAAAGTTGCTTGCTTTTTCCTCCTCCTCCTCCTCCTCTTCCTCTACCTCCTCCTCCTCCTTCTCCTCTTCCTCTCTCTCTCTCTCTCTCTCTTTCTCAATTGTCAACAAACCAAATCTCATTCTAGGATACTGTGTATACCAAATGTTTCATATTCCTGGAGTAATTTCTTTTCTTAAGAAACATACGTTACCTTGTTTCACATTGCTTGTTTTCTGAAGAGTCAGACTTTCAATTCATGAAATTTTAACTCTGCTACTTTTTTCTTTTTCAAATTTGCATTACTATTTTAACTTTCTGTCTCTATTTCTGGCTAAATCAAGTTTATTCTTTTCTTTTCTGAAAAATAAAATGTAAAGTTAATTATAAAAATATTTGACTACATTAGATATTAGTAATTAATATTCACAATTTGTTAATTTTAATTGTTTTTTCCTTCCTAATTTTAGGTTGTTGAAAAATTATATTAATTCAAATTTGAAAAAATGGCAAAGTAATGCAAGTTATCTTTAAAAATTAATCATAAAAACAACACAAAATTATAATGAAAAAATAATATACATTTATGATCAAAGAAATAAAATTTACAAAGTAAAATTCTCGAAATATCTTGCGGAAAGTGTAATTGGGATAAAAAGCCCATGTCTAAAGTCAATTGACCGTTCAAGATCATTTTCTTTACTCTAAAAGATAGTTAAGGTTAAGAAAACTCTTTAAGTTTCAAAGTTTAATTTCAAGCCAAATCTTATATATGATATGATTAATTTTTTCATAATTAATTTTTTGAATAATAAATTCAGGAGAAATGATTGAAAAAAAAATTCATAAAAATAATCATTTTAAAAAAATCAATAAATTTTATCAATTTTCAAATTATCTAATTTTGTTTTAAAAAAAATTACTTGATTTAGAGTTATGGGGCTTATGGTTAATAATTTTGAACTTTTTTCTTATGAAATTATAAAGTAAACTTTTTTTTTTATGAAAATATAAAATGTTAATATATTTGCAGGATTTTAGAGAATCATTTTTAAAACAAATTTTTTAAAAAATTCTTGAAGCCAAAATAAATTTGGAAAATCAAGTTTACAGATTAAATAAACACTTGAAGGATTAAAAACTAAAATATATTCTTTCAGAAAAATATATTCTATTAGAATATTAATCCTAAATGTTAAAAATTACATACGCTTGAAGAATTGGATCCAAAAGTATCAAAAGTATTCCACGAATATATCAACACTTTGTATATCTATCAAGTAACAAATCACAATGCAATCTTATTCAAGATCTTCAATCACTATATACCATTCTCTCCTAAAAGCTCGAGGCGATTCGTGATAACGCCATGGTTCGATTTTAGGGGGTCGTAAATACCAGGCCGTACTCGAATATCCAATTGGCTCAGGGGAAGTTAACCGGACGATACAACGTTCCCACTGGGGGGTCTGATCCCGCAACCGCGACCACCGCAAATGGAAAAGCCCCGTAAAAAGTGGTGTAACCCGCTTTTCCTATCGGCCATCCCACGATTCGCAGCTGCAAATCCATTTTTCTTCTCTCGCCTAACCCCTATTCAACTTTTTCAACTTTTTCTTCCCAATGAAACGTTTTATTTATTATTTTGCGAGTTCGAATTAAATTTGTTCGAGAATTACTATTGAGCTTTGGAAGGATAATATACGGAATGTCATAAATGAAAGTATCGTAAATAATAGATTTACAAAAACTTGTACGTGTACTTAGAACATTCCTGCTAAAATTGTAGGATATATTTTTAAATAAAACTTTTATTAAAAACTGTGAACGATAAATTGCATTCGTTTTTCTGGTATTCCTATTTCTAGTGTACAATTTATATCTCTTTATCTATTTATTTATTATTTATTTGTTATTTTATTTTAATAATTAAATTTAAATTTTATTTGTTTCTTTTTAGTACACCATTTTTAGTATACTTTATATTTTTTCACTAAAATATGAAGTTAAGTAATATTCTTCCATATATTTAAATATCTGCCAAATCTGTGAAGTAAATATAATTATTTCATAATTTTTATATATTTATAAGAAATATGTGACTGGCTATATTTTATTTATTTAATCATATATTTACCACTGAGTGTTGCAATTTAGTTGCTAGCACACCGGCGTTCGTAGTACAAAGTTAAATAACCTGTAATTTGAAAGATAAGACTCAATTAATATTTTTATACTATTTTTTTTATAATTTTCATCTTGATATTTAAATCTGTTTTTTCTAATCCTCTAAAGGTTAATTAAATTTTATTTTCTAAAAATCCTGAAGAAAATCGACGAGACAAAAAATATATTTAAGGATATACGAAAGAAGTTTAATTCGAATAAAACATTTAAAGAAATGGCCAATTCTCGTTTCTTGCGAGATTAACATCTACCAGACATCGAACTTTCTGCTATCGTCTTTCCATGGTTTTCATTTAATTGGATCGTTCAAATAATGCGCCAGAGTTTTGGAAGATTGCGATATCATTTGCTTAACGCTGTTCCAAAGCATGCAATTTTTATTGCTTTAATTAAAATTTGTTCTTCTATTCCATATAATTTTATTTTTCGTTTATTTAATTGAGAATTTTATTCTTATTTTACAAACATTGGTAGAAAATATGGAATAATCGAAATTTCAAGGAGATGGAGAAAATAGCACTAGTTTTTCTACGATTCTTAAGTCACATTCTGATATAATATTTCAATACTAATAAAACAAATCAAAAATAAAAAATATATATAAATATTAAATCAGAGTTAATCTAGAACAAACAAAGAAAACAATTATAAAATTAAAATTCTTTGAATCCTTGAACGAAGAATCGACATATTTTCCAATTTACTTGATGAGAATAGAAAAATCGAGTATCCGTGATAATAATTCAAGAGAAACTCGAAAATAATCGGA